TTTTCTAATTAAGTAACTTGTGAAAAACTGATTTGGTGGGAAGTCTCACTTGACGTGTGTGTGTGGTTTCGTATAAATAATTAAAAATTGTAAAATGTGAAGTGTATATACTCTACCAATTCTAAGCTGCATCCCGGTGGCTCAGCTGAAGAGTGCTAAAATTCAGAGTTCGATCCCTGCAGTGAGCACAACTCAGATAGCCCATTATGCAACTTTGCGCTTAAGCAAACCGAGTAGAAAACATTTCATAATTTTTATTTCCTACTTATGCTATACAGTCCTTTAAAATAACTCACCCCCCAGTGATTCAGGGGCAAGCTCGAGGGCTTATAACGTTCAAATTTGGGGCCTGATCTCTGTGGTAGGCAGTACAGATATCCCATTGTGCAGCGTTGGGCGCAAACAAACAAACAGTAGAATGGTGAGCAAGATAGTAACTCTTGAAAAGTTGTTCAAGATGTCTACTTACAATACAAGCCACGCCCTATGCAACATCTATACTTTAAATTACAAGTGTTACATTAACTCAACCGGTTCACCTGTACAGGTACCACGTGAAACGCGGGTTACATGTGTTAAAAACGAACTTTCAAGATCTAGTCAATTTAACCTGACTGACCGGAAAGTATACTTGTTCTAACTTGGGTGGCAAGAAAGTGACTTGGTCTCATTGTTTAACCTAGATTATTGGAAAGTGACTTGGTCTAACTTATTGAAAAATGACTTGGTCTAACCGAGATTATTGAAAAATGACTTGATCTAAGTTAGGTAACTGGAAAGTGACTTGGTCTAACTTAGATTATTGGAAAGCGAGAAGTGACTTGGTCTAACTTATTGAAAAATGACTTGATCTAAGTTAGGTAACTAGAAAGTGACTTGGTCTAACCTAGATTATTGGAAAGCGGGAAGTGACTTGGTCTAACTTAGACCAACTCATATTGTAGTCATCTAAGTTAGACCAAGTCACTTTCTAATAATCTAACTTAGAAGACTAGGATGTGACTTAGTCAAACGTAGAAGATCAGAAAGTAACTGTTTAACTTAGATTATTTATGATTTTGTTGCCGTGTGATATTTTTGTGCTTAGAAAAATCCGTTAAAAGTTTTCAAACCGTAGTTTTAGAAAGAGAATTACTCAAGTCCACAATACGAGTGGGTACCCTAATATACTGATTGATCACGTAAGGTTGAACTAGTAGTTTTATTACCTTTAATCCTACACGATTCATCCTTCTCTTTTCATCTGGATGTTCAATCCTTCTAAGTAAGATTATTCAGATTGATTTTTTCCAGGAAAAATTAGGCTTCTAAGAAAAACGACCACTGGTTGAGAGATCGTAAGTTCTCATCTATGTTGATAGCTTGTTTCCGTCAGAAGTTAGTATTAGTTACATTAATGTATTTTATGTAACTAATTAACCTAAGGACTGTTATATTTCAACATTACAATTATTATTATCCTCGCAGTTGTGTTCGTGTTTATCTGTCTGTCTGTGTTTCTGCGCGCGTATCTCGAAAACTAATAGACCGATGTACACACATTTTTTTCCACAAGATGGGAAGTCGGTATGGGACAGTCCTCTCCAAATTTAGTCCTGATTCAAATCCGGATACGGATTCTGGATCACATTGAAGCATTTTTTATAATGGGGAGATTCGGCATTTTTGCGGTTTGGGGTTAATAACTCTGTAAAGTGTGATCGTATGTGTACCAAATTTCATGGGTACATTAAGATTGAGACTCCTCATCAAACTACAAAAAATGATCCTGATTGTTGATCATTCTGGATCGGAGAAGAATTTTCTGAGTTTTCGAAGGTAAAATTTGACGTTATCCAATAGAAACGCATGCAACCTCGATAAGTAGCGGCGGGGCAAGGATGTGAAATCTCTCTTACTGCTCTACTTCAACAGCAAGATAACGCTGATTTCAACAATTTCTGTTCCTTCTTTACAGATGATATCCAGCTCCATATGGATTCTGTTGGAGACTCTGTTGTTGGGTGCTGTGTTGCTTTATCAAACGGTGAGTTCTTAGAAGTCATGTCGGAGCATTTTAAAGAGGGTTTATTTTTTCCTGTAAACAATTGTTTTCTCACGACAAATATTACGTTTAAAAGGTCGAAACTATTATAAATAAATGAGTTATGGAAGTACGTGCACTACTTTATATTTAAAAATATGACATTAGGTTTTATTCGTAACATTTGTGTTTAATTATAACATGTTTCTTAAGCTGAAATGTGTTACAGAGACTTCTGTAACGGGGCTGTAACTACACTGTTACTAACAGTGTAACAAACACTGATAACTTATTTGATGACAGAGAGGAGAATGGTACCATGGTCAATGTACAACTTTTACAGTGAGCTATTACATCTCAGCCAGTGGTGTTGGTGATCCACACAACTTGATGGTATCCTGACTGCTGGTAGGTTTATGCGAATTTTATCCATCATGTCATTCCCCTTGGGAACGGGACCGGTTGGACAGAAATTCTTTATCTTCTAGCACAAAAGTGATCCCAAGCATGCCGAAATTATGGTGAAGCGACACCTGGAGGAAAAAGAAGTTGCTGGAACACACGCATCCATTATTTGGCATGCACAAAGTACCGAAATGAGTACTATTAAGAATGTATGTGTTTATATGGAAAGATTAGAAGGTTAAACGGCATCCAAACAACTTGGCTGAATTGGGAAGAGTAGTACAAGACATTTGGAGCAATATTTCACATTTATTAACTGAAAACCTTATGATATCATGAAAACACGGCGTACTGCAGATTAAAAACCACAAGTGCATTGTACTAGTGATAAACTGATGATATGCAATTACTCGTTGTTTGTGGCTTATATGTTTGTATCACCAGGGCGTTTCCATAAGTATTTCAAATTTTGTGTGTATACATGTATGTAAGTGAGTGTGTAAAGCTACATATAACACTCAGGTTTATTGTGTTAGCAAATTACAGGTGTGATAACCCTTCCGCCAGTATTAAAGATGATAAGTAATACTTTGACATATAGCATGTGGAATAAATATGAAAGTTCCATTCTTTTCACAGTAAAATATTTAAAAAACGTACATCTTCCCCTTCTCCGTGGCTCAGCGGTAAGTCTGAAGGTACATAACACTAAAAACCGGGCTTCGTTACGCATGGTGGGCACAGCATAGATAACCCATTGTGTAGCTTTGCGCTCAGCAACAAACAGAAACAGTTAAACGTACAAAGCTACACAAATGTTGAATTAAAGTTTGAGAAGTGTCCGTTTTTTTGTTTTTGTTGTCAAGATTTTTAGATGGTTTTATAGAAAAACAAAATATAAAAAAAAATGGTTACAGAAACACAACTTTCTTATAT